TCTTTAGGTGTTGGTCATATGGCGATGTGAACTATGGGTGTTAATCACATGGCGATGTGAACTAGATTATTGACTCTAGTGCAAGTGGGAAACTGAAGGAAATTTTCCCTAGAGGCAATAATAAAGTTGTTATTTTATATTTCCTTATTCATGATAAAGATTTATTGTTCATGCTAGAATTGTATTGACCGGAAACTTAAATACATGTGTGGATATATAAACAAATACCATGTCCCTAGTGAGCCCCTACTAGACCAGCTCGTTGATCAAAGATGGTTAAGGTTTCCTAACCATAGACATGAGTTGTCATTTGATAACGGGATCACATCATTAGGAGAATGATGTGATGGACAAGACCCATCTGTTAGCTTAGCATTTGATCGTTCAGTTTATTTCTATTGCTTTCTTAATGTCAAATACATATTCCTTTTTTTGACAGAAAGACTGTAAGGGAACCCTTTACATTATAATTGGTGCAACAAACCCAAATTGCAAGTACCATGCCTTGAACCTGGGTGGGTGGGAAGGCATCAGCCCCTTCCCACCACTAGGCTATGCCTTAGTCTGCTAAATAATTCCTTCGACTATGAGATTTTGCAACTCCCAGATTCTGGAGGAACGCCTTGTGTGCTATCAAACGTCACAACATAATTGGGTGATCATAAAGATGCTCTACAGGTATCTCCGAAGGTGTTTGTTGAGTTGACATAGATCAAGATTAGGATTTTTCACTCCGTGTATCGAAGAGGTACCTCTGGGCCCTCTCTGTAATACACATCATAAGAAGCCTTGCAAGCAAAGTGACTAAGGAGTTAGTTACAAGATGATGTATTACAGAACGAGTAAAGAGACTTGCCAGTAACGAGATTGAACTAGGTATGAAGATACCGACGATCGAATCTCGGGCAAGTAACATACCGATGGACAAAGGGAATTACTTATTTTGTCATAAGGTTCGACCGATAAAGATCTTCGTAGAATATGTAGGAGCCACTATGGGCAGCTAGGTTATGCTATTGGTTATTGACCGGAGAGGTGTCTCGGTCATGTCTACATAGTTCTTGAACCCGTAGGGTCCGCACGCTTAACGTTCGTTGATGATATAGTGTTATATGAGTTATATGATTTGGTGACCGAATGTTGTTCGAAGTCCCGGATGAGATCACGAACATGAAGAGGAGTCTCAAAATGGCCGAGAGGTAAAGATTGATATATAGGACGATGGTATTCGAACATCAGAAGAGTTTCAGAGTACACCGGATAGTCATCGAGTCACCGGAAGGGGTTTTGGACACCCGCGATAAGTGTATGGGCCTAATGGGCCAAAGGGGGGGGGACAGACCAACCCACCAGGGGGCTGGTGCGCCCCTCGACATGGCTGGACGACCCTAGGGGAAGGAAAGGGTGGCCCCTCCTGCCTTTCCCTCCTCATGAGAGAAAGGAAGGGGGCGCCACCTCCTCCTTCCTCCCGCACTCCAAATAAGGAAGGGGGGCGCCACTTGGGAAGGGACCCCAAGTAGGATTCGACCTACTTGGGGGTGCCCCCTAGCTACTCCCTCATCCCCCACCTATATATATGTGGGAGGGGGGCGCAACACAACTACAACATTATCTTAGCCGTGTGCGGCGCCCCCCTCCACCGTTTACACCCTTGGTCATATTTTCGTAGTGCTTAGGCGAAGCCCTGCGGAGATAGCTTCACCATCACTGTTACCACGCCGTCGTGCTGCCGGAACTCATCCACTACCCCACCATCTTGTCGGATCAAGAAGACGGAGGACGTCACCAGGTTGAACGTGTGCTGAACACGGAGGTGATGTACGTTCGGTACTCGATCGGTTGAAGCGTGAAGAAGTTCGACTACATCAACCGCGTTAACAAACACTTCTGCTTACGGTCTACGAGGGTACGTAGACACACTCTCCCCTCTCGTTGCTATGCATCTCCATGGATAGATCTTGCGTGTGCGTAGAATTTTTTTGTTTTCCATGCAACATTTCCCAACAACCTTAACATGTTCCTTAACTCTAACAGGGAAAGGGAGCTTCTCAATATAAGCAGTAGGCACAACAAGATTAGTAGTATAACCTAGCATTTCAGTATTAGCAATGATAGGTTCTTCACAAGCATCTTTAATGGGTTCATGATATTTAAACCACTTCTCTTTAGGAAGATTAACATGAACATCAAAGCATTTACAGAATGTAGCTACTATCTCAGAATGAAGTCCATATTTTGCAGTAAGCTCATGAAAAACATCTGTTTCTACAAAAGACTTAATGCAATAATATTCATCATTTATACCTGACTCTTTACCTTTGTCCGCCTCCCAATCTTTAGAGTTGCATTTAATTCTTTCAATAAGATCCCATTTGATTTCAATACTTGTTCTTAACAAAAAACCCTCATAAGATGAATCAAAAATTTCTTTATCATGAAGAGAAAGCCTAGCATAAAAATTATGAACAATAATATCTCTCGAAAGCTCATGATTGGGGCAATTAAGCATTAAGTCCTTAAGCCTCCCCCAAGCTTGAGCGATACTTTCTCCTTCACGTGGCAAAAAATTATAGATAAAATTTCGATCACGATGAACCAAGTGCATATGATATTTTTTTGATGAAATTCCAGCTTCCATCGGTTCTAGTCCAATGAATCAGAATCATCCAATAGCCTATACCATGCCAATGCTTTTCCCTCCAAAGATAAAGGGAATAATTTATTTTTAATTTCATCCCTCGACATATATGCAATCTTAAATAATCCACAAAGTTCATCCCCTCCAGCGGTCCCTCTGCATTGGATGGTCGCTCTCCGCCTCCATCATCGCCCAGTAGAGGTACTCATCGGAAGAGCGCGGTTCGGGAGCATGCTGGCCTTCTCCTTGCGCCGTGAGACAACTGACGATGCCGACCGCCTCCTTGTAGATCATCGCCAGGTTAGGGAACCACACACATATCTCGCGTAGCCGGGCGAGCTTCTCCGCATTGCCGGTGACCACCTGAACAAGGATTTGCACCAACGGATTGAGGATTGGAGATTGGATGGGGATGTCCGGAAGATCGATTGACTAGGGTGAGAAGGGTTAGGGATTTGGGCAAGCTCGGGTCATGGATTTCGGAGAGATGATGAAGAGACGGATCGAGAGGAGTGGTGGTGTGGAGGCGGCTGGCTCAGAGTGGTGGAGTGGAGGCGACTGGCTTACCGAATAAGGTTGCACGATTTGACTACTTCGCGCGGGAGGCCGACAATTGTGCCCGAAGACGACGAGGCAGAGAACGTGTATCGGGGGAGCGCGGGTTGTTTTCGAAAAACGCGAGTTTTTTTCCACAAAAGCGTGCGCCACGCGATGGCACCAGGGCGCTCTACCGTCGAGGGGACCATAGAGATAACGTCAATGTAATGTATTCTCGTGTATAGGGGCCGTATTGAAGCGTTTCTCGAGTTGCGGTACCATTTTTTATTTTTTTGTGCCAGAGAATTAGAGGACCAAACATGTACTACTTTAGTAATCTAAATGCTCTTATATTTCTTTACGGATTTAGTGATCTAAACACTTTTATATTTCTCGAATTCACTAATTGAGGAGTACTCCTCGCAAAGATCACTTCCACCTTCCCAGATTATGACAAGTGGCACGCTGCATGCGGGCCACTTGTCGCAACCTGGGAGTTTTCCTTTTTTCGTAGATCCATTTATTCAAAACGTTTTATCTCTTAAACCGTGCGTCCAAATCTCGAACCATTATCATCGTTGGATTTCTCGCGTCGAGTTCTTCAAAACTAGATCCCATGTTGATAGATTTTAACGAACTTATTTTTCATGAAAAAACCAGAAAAACAAACTGAACCGGGAGCACGATTCTTTCTCTTTGTGAAAGAGGCACGGCCATGCCTCTCACGAAATCACAACCGTGTCTCTCGTGAAAGCAAAACCATGCCTCTCGTGAAAGGAAAAAAAAACAAAAAACACATTTTTTCCATTTTCGAGAGGCACGGCCGTGCCTCCCGCGGAAGGAAAAAAAAACAGAAAACGTGTTTTTTCCCGTTTCCGATAGGCACGGTCGTGCCTCTCGTGAAAGCAAAACCGTGCCTCTCGCAAAAGCAAAACCGTGCCTCTAGTGAAAAAAAAACTAAAAACATATTTTTTTTCATTTTCCGAGAGGCACGGTCGTGCCTCCGACGAAAGCAAAACCGTGCTGTGGCAGAAGGAAAAAAAGTTAGAAAACACGTTTTTTTTTCATTTCCAAGATGCATGGTTGTGCCTCTCTCAAAAGCAAAACCGCGCATCTCGCTGAAGCAAAAAAAGCGTGTTTTTTCATGTAAATTTTTTTCCAATTTTTTTTGGGACAAAAGCTAAGACCGGTGAAAACCAAAACGTCGAAAAAAACAAAAAAAATCATTTAAAAAGCCAAAAACGCGTGCAGAAAATATTTTTTTTCGAAGGGAGCATTCAGAGTGCGACACGTGACGGGCGGCTGAGAGCGCGCTAAGTGACGCTGATCATTGTGAGGCTTTCGAAGAAGCGGTCGTCAACTAGTTGCTCCCTTTCTATACTAGTCAATGTGTACGTGCAATGCACGTTAGTCTGGAAGTACATTAAATGCACGCGGATATTAAATAAGATATTATTTGCGTGTTATTATGTGATTAATACTATATTTGGCATAAAATTAACTACATGCTAAATATGTTGAACACTCGACATTGAAGCAATCTAGGTCGTTGGATTGACATGATTTAATGATCAAAATTAATTGAATCTGCCTATTTGGCTCTTTTTATATTAGTATAGAAGTATAGATATAGATTTATCTACGAAGGGAGTAATTTTCTCCCTTTCATCAAAGCCCAAAAAGCCCAAGATCAGTCAACACTCGTTCCCGTCCAGTCCACCGTATCGTCCGTTTCGTCGTTCCTTGATTCCCTCCCGCATATTAGCCGACTCCTTATTTTTTGCAAAATCGAAATTCGAACCCCAACTTCCGCAAATCCATCGCCATGGCGTCGCCTCTCGAGTACGGTAAGCACCCCCAAACCCTAGCCCCAACACCCCCCAAGTGCGGGCTCTTACCGAACTCCGCTCGCCCGTGTAGCTCTCGCCGTGCTGCAGGCGCGGCTCCTCCAGGCGGCGGAAGACGGCGACCTCCCCCTCTTCAAGAGTACGTACGCGCGCTGCGGCCTACGATACTATCTCCTCCTGCCTGCTCTGTTAAACTCGCTCGGACGCTCATTTGGGGTTTTCGCTCCGTCTCGCAGGGACGGCGAGGGCGCTGGACGGCGGGAAAGGCCGCCTGAGGGAGGCGGTGGAGGGCGCGACCGCGAGTAACTGCGGCGCTCGGGCTTTGCACGTCGCCGCCGTTCACGGGAGGATGCCCGTGTGCGCCTACCTGGTCGAGGACCTCCAGGTGAATGTCGATGCCACCGACGAGTCAGGTTGTTCCTTGTGTTCCATCTCGTGCTAAGCGAAACACTCCGTTGTCAGAAATGAATGTCTAGTCACGTTGGGAAATCTGGGTGACTGAGCAGCACTCCAGCCGCGCATCAGATTTCTCCAAGTTTGTACGCTGCCTGTACCCTGTAGGTATATATAGAGTATACTTGTTGGTTTCAGTTTTTCTGGCGATTTGATTTGGCTTATCTCATGGTATGTTTTTCACTAGGCAAGAGTACAAGTTCTGCAGGGAAATTGTAATTAACTGGATTGTAATACTGAATTTGCTAGCGTTGTGGTTCAGTGGCAAATTTGGTTAACTGGTAGTTGCTTTAGCGTCGGTGTATCTTACTGTAAACTGTAATAAATCGACCAATTATTTCATGTTTCTGAATTCTGATCAAGGTAAGTGTTACCTGCATGCTTAGGTTGCTTGCTCGATCGAATCTAAATTAAATCTGATCTGCATGATGCATGATTATGGAGAACCATTTTCCCATGATATCATTGTCTCTGCTGCCATGACCTTTTTTGAAAAGACTGGTGCCATGATTTCATACACTAGAACGGATAAATAAGTTGTTTCCTAGATTTTAGCTTATTGGATTAGACATGAAGACTGCATGCGTAATCT